ATTACTTTATTTGAAGGAATGGTACTAAGGAAAGGACTTGCAGATATTTTGGTACAACTTACAGAAAACGTAAGGTAACCCAAACATGCATGCACTGCCTTGGTGACCAGGGAAGTCACCCCTGTGGCTACGGGAAGCCAGCCTAAGGCTTAGCTCTCATTATCACTATTTCCCAGGGTGTGCTTGTCAAAAAGATACCGTGCCATGCCAGATTCGGGGGCCCCCATCGTGCGCAAGTTGGTTACGTGGTCACCCAATTCTTTAATGGATTTCACCTGCTCATTCAGATGAGTCTCAATGAAGTCGCACAAATGGGGGCCATTTTTCTCAGTGGCCAGTTGGTGCAGTTCCAGTAGTGACTGAATCACACTTTTCCAAGTGTAGCGCACATTCCATTGCATTCAGCCCATTCTCCCAGTCATCACGGTCTGGTTTCTTGATATCCCGAAGGAAGATTCGGCCACCCCGTTGGTTCTGCAGCTTCATCAGATTCTCAGCATGTTCCCTCTCCTCACAAGATTGGGGAAGAAAGTATTTGGCAAAGTTCTTCAAAGCCACATCATCGTGGTCAAAATAGTACGACATGGACAGGTAGACGTAGGCGGCATAGAGCTCCGGGTTGATCTGACGGTTGATGGCGGCCTCCGAGCCCTGGTGGTAGTTCTGGCGCACCTGCGAGGGGGACGCGGTCGTCATGGCGGGCGGCTGAGGTGAAACGGTGGCGGTGGCTGCGCGGCGCTGTAACGGCGGCGGGGACCTTGGGGCGGTCGGGAGGGCGCCGTGAGGTGGTGGCGAGGGCTGGCTCTGAGCGGCCGGCCGGAGCGGGGGACGAGCGCCGGGTTCCGTCCAAGCACTGTTGAAGCAAGAAACCGCGGCGACTCTCCGCGAGGACTCGGCTTTTCTTAATTTGTATATTAACACATGAACTCTCCATAACCACCAGTATGTTTGCTTCTTGGCAGTGTCGCCAGTGTGTTTTTATCTGAAATATTTTTTAACAAGTTCGAATCAGGCAACAGGAGGCAAGCTAAAAGCTCCGAGGGGCTATATAAAGATAATCATTTTTTGTTTTACTTTTAAGGGTGCATCTTACTATGTTCAATCTCGTGCGGGACCGTTTATCATAATCTTCTGAGGGCAGGTTAGGTGATTGTGTACATGGAATTTCTGTTTATTCATAATTCATAAATCACAAAGAGAAAATTGCGTTAAGATTCTGCAGGTGATTTTTCTGCAGGTGGTCTTGGCAGTGAAGAAAGGAGCAAACAAATAAATGCATAGTGAGAAATTAGATGAATAGACCAAAGGAAATGTAGAGTCCTCAAGCCAACTAGTTGAGAAGGAAAGGCTTATAGTTTAAAGACGGGATCTCAGAACAAATGGCATTTCATCTCAGGCTGACACCTAATGAATATGGAGCGGTCCTATGTGCGTAGATAAAGGAGTGAAAATGAAAGATGACAATAGCTCTAAGTGTAGGGATAACAGCAGTACTCCCTTGTGTGGTTCTGAAAAGTAGTGTCGAAGATTAATCCTTGGATAGTTAGTGGGACCATTATCTAACTATCTATCTAGTCTTCAAAAGACTAGAAGAGGGCTTCCCTGGTGGCGCAGTGGTTGAGAGTCCACCTGCCGATGCAGGGGACACGGGTTCGTGCCCCGGTCCGGGAAAATCCCACATGCCGCGGAGCAGCTGGGCCCGTGAGCCATGGCCACTGAGCCTGCGCATCCGGAGCCGGTGCTCTGCAATGGGAGAGGCCGCAACAGTGAGAGGCCCGCGTACCGCAAAAAAAAAAAAAAAAAAAAAAAAAAGACTAGAAGAGAAGAAATTTTTATTTGCGGAAGAGTTAATGGCTTCATTTTGAAATATATTTCGTTTTGCACACCTGTAATACATTCACATGGAGATTATAGCTCAGAAGTGGAATCTAGATACGAGTTTCTAGATATGAGTTTAGATTTAACAAAGGGAAAATTGAAGCAACTAAAGGATTGTTGTGAGAGTTCTGAGATAGTATATTGTAAGGGGAGAGAAAAAAGGGGTAGGATTGAACCTTGAGCTATTTTAACACTACTGTTGGAGGAGGACCTTGAAAAGGACTCCTAGAAGGAGTGACTAGAATATTTTATATTTTTAAAAAATATATTTATTTTATTTATTTATTTTTGGCTGCGTTGGGTCTTCGTTGCTGTGCGCGGGCTTTCTCTAGTAGCGTCAAAGGGGGGCTACTCTTGGTTGTGGTGCGCGGGCTTCTCATTGCGCTGGCTTCTCTTGTTCCGGAGCACGGGCTCTAGGCACGTGGGCTCAGTAGTTGTGGCTCTCGGGCTCTAGAGCTTAGGCTCAGTAGTTGTGGCACACAGGCCTAGTCTCTCCACGGCATGTGGGATCTTCCCAGACCAGGGCTCGAACCCGTGTCCCCTGCATTGGCAGGTGGGTTCTTAACCACTGTGCCACCAGGGAAGCCCTAGAATATTTTAAAGACAGGAATTTGAGCTGTCAGATAATCCTAGGAGAGAGAAAGTTCCCAAAAGGAGATCATGCTTTGGTTCCAAGTAAAAGGTTGAGATACACTCATTGCACTTAATTACGGGGGAATAACTGTGATCTTATCAAAATTTATTAACGAGATCATTAGTGATTTTTACAAGTGAGGGAGTGTGACCAAGTATGTACTGTCACCATACTGTGACCAAGTATGTACTGTTTTTCAGTTTTATTTTGAAGGGGAAAGGTCACGTGGCAGGGATGAGATGTAAACTGGCTTAGAGCTGGTTTTTATTTCAAGAGTGTAGAGACTAAATGAGTTTAAGGAGATGGATGGGGAAGTGATGAAGAGGTTGCTGGTACAATAAATTCAGTTTCTAATCTATAATATGAAATATTTGAGGGAGTAGGTGAAAAAGGGGTACAACCGGAGAAGTTGGATTTAGTTAGGAATAGAGACGACTTTTCAGTTTTTACATGAGAAGACACACTGATGAGTTGGAGTTCAGGAATAAGTATAGATTTCACGCCAGTGAGCAGAACTGTTTCTTCACATTATCTAATTCATCTCTGCAGTAGGAAGTGAAGCCATTTTTGAAAAGAGGAAAAGAGAATTTGTGAGATTTGAAAGGTACAGAGAATATTGACATATTAATGAAGCATGGCAGAGTGATTAGGAAGCCACAGTAAGATGCCAGATATTTAGACAAAGCCTTTGGGAGGTATATGACACTGTAATTAGACCAGATCAATACCTAAACCTGAACTGTGACAGATGCAGCCATGGGAAGAGGAGATATTTGGGGTCATCTGGGACTGGCGTCTCAGCGGATATGGGGAAGGACTAAGTTGGGGCATTAGAATTGTTGGTCTTGGTGTGTATATGCTGAAATGAGTAATTGTGTGTTACACTGACCCGTAAAAATGAGGAGAGGTGAGGGCTGATTTTGGAAATTGAGGTCAGTGAACTGGAGGTTCCCATGTAGTAGGAGCATGGGCAGTATTTGTAGGAATAGGCTGAAAGGAGGAGGTTTGTGAGGGAGAGGTCTCTGGTCATGGATCTGACTGGTGACATATACAGGTAAAACCTGGTTTTGGTGTCTACCCACAAGATTAGAATATTTAGTTATTTGATATTCAGAGATGGGCAGAGCTCATTTTAAATTCTTATTCTGTCGATTTCTAGCCGCACAATTTTGTCATATAAATAAAGCTTCCTGAACCTAGCGCACATCAGTTGTTAAATGTGTGACTAGGGCTTCCCTGGTGGCGCAGTGGTTAAGAATCTGCCTGCCAACGCTGGGGACACGGGTTCGAGCCCTGGTCCGGGAAGATCCCACATGCTGCGGAGCAAGGAAGCGTAGCCCCTGCTCACCGCAACTAGAGAAAGCCCGTGCACAGCAACAAAGACCCAACTCAGACATAAATAAATAAATAAATAAATAAATAAATAAATTTATTTAAAAAAAGAAAAATGTGTGATAATCCATAAAGGCAGGGTTGTTGTGAGTATTCAATGCAACAACATATGTATGTAAGCAAATACATGTGAATTCCACTCAGGGTCTCACTTAACACTAGCAGATTTTTTTTTTTTTCTGTTTCCAGGCCCTCAGCATCAAAGGGTTTTAATCATATTCTGTTGACACAGTGTCAGTATTTGGTGATGTAATATATTTAATTGTAAACTTTGTTTTAGGTAGTACTTGAGAGTTGACAGATTCTTTCATATCCTTAAATTATAAAATGAAGGGATAATGTTGTTCATAAAAATAACTAGCATTCCAGACACCATTTCATTGAGATATCCCAGTCAATAAATTTCCTCCAGAATGAAACCCCTTCACTATATTTTATGAGCCTGTCTGCCTTACGGGGGTTGTGCAGCATAACTGTAGCATTACGACATTTGTACTCCTGCTTGTTTCTGTGCGAGGGGTTGTATGTGCTAGACTCGCATGATGAGAATCACTGAGCACTCGAGCAAGGGATTGGTCTCTGAATTGTTTCCACTCAGCATGAAAGAGATTCCAGAGTTGCTTGGTCACGTATCCAAGGCCCTGAAGTATACAGCTAGGGTTGAGACACTGACATTGCCTGAATTCCACATGTGGAGGATCCAGATGACTAAAGGCAAGTTATCTTGAGGGAAAGTACGGGACACTACTGAGCTGAGACGGGTGTTGCAAAACAATGCTAGTGGACCTCACCAAGATTTATAGAATCAGCGACTCCAGAATGGCGTCCTGGGTTATGGATACGAGAATCTCCATATGGCAGGAGTCGGGTTCTCTTAGGATTTGGTGCCAGGGATGGAATTAAATAATACATCGGGACACCGCGTCTAATTAAACTGTAAAGCCCCATACTTGTGTTTTCTTATCTATGAAGTGAGGATGTTAATGTCTGCATTATGAGCATCAAAGTCGACCCTTGGAGAGGAGAGCCCTCTCCCCATTTGTCCTTGTCCCCGCTGCAGACACGTGTGGGTTGAGGAGTCACTACCATGTGAAGGTTTGCAGATTCAAGACGGTGGGCATGTCTGGGAATGTTAGAAAAGACTGGAGTCTCTTGGCTTCTTTCTCTTTCCTCAGCTTTGCTTAGCTTTTGAACTGCCCTTTGGTGAGAATACACAGGAAGACAGGGCGACTGAGTTCCAGACAATGCAACCCCAGGTGAGTAGGACTTGCTCTTTCTTGTGAATTGATACCTGTTTTTCCAGGGGAGGAGTGCGTTTCCCGTCTTGGCCTGGATCTCCTGTGTGCCCCCGTGAAGTTAAATTACTGCCTGTCGTATTTCCTCAGGACTCTGGGAGGCTTATGGCAGGTCGGGGACTGATCAAGAAATAATCCCCTACCCAATATTTACACTACTTTATTCCGTTCCCCACCCCCTTAATCATGTCCTTGAAGAAAAGGTGAAAAGTTGTTTCTTCTAATGTATCCCATGTTAGTGTCCGCTTTGGGCTTAGGCGTGTGGTGGACACAGGTGATGGAAATGAGTAAGAGCAAACGCTTATAGTCCTGCAGGGAGGCAGATGTTTCTTCAGGTGAGTTCAGTCCATCCAGTGATTCAGGTGCTGCAGAGGAGGGCTGTGCAGCATTGAGATTGGGGTAGCGGGGCGGAGAGCAATGAGGAATAATTTATTTTTCCCAATTTTAAATTTATTCAAGTGTTTATAGAACACACTTGAACACTTAAATAACTTGAAAAAAGAAAACAATTCTCCTTACCCCTCTTGCTCCCCAAACCCCAGTTTCCTTCTTTGTAATTAAACTGTGTTCAAATTTGAAGACAGAAAGAAATGTCTGGGGCTTCCCTGGTGGCGCAGTGGTTGAGAGTCCGCCTGCCGATGCAGGGGACATGGGTTCGTGCCCCGGTCTGGGAAGATCCCACACGCCGCGGAGCGGCTGGGCCCGTGAGCCATGGCCGCTGAGCCTGCGCATCCGGAGCCTGTGCTCCGCAACGGGAGAGGCCACAACAGTGAGAGGCCCGCATACCGCAAAAAAAAAAAAAAAGAAAGAAAGAAATGTCTGGAATCCTTTTCTTAATTCGGGCTGTGCATTGCGGAAAAAGGATTGTAACGGAGTAAACCTAGGGTCTTGTAGCAATTTTTGAAGGACTGGAGAGATCAGGTTCAACTGAGGGGCCTCTATTTCCCGTTAGCATATAGACAGGGTTGTGATAACGGGAAGAATAATGATAACCCGTGCTTGAAGGTCCCAGAGAAAATGGAAACGCAGAGCCTCACCACAGGAGGGTCAGGCCAGGACACTCCTTCTGCACAGCAGTCTCAGGCCCCTTGGGGTTTGCTTCTGAACTGTACGACTTATTCTCTGTCGTGAACATGTGAGTTGTGTAGAGATGAGGGAGGCCACCCCTGATTATCCACATTCTCTAGGAGGATGTTCAGTCCTGCCGAACTTGGCCATCATCTGTGCCCAGGTTATTTCCACCACAGTTATCTCACTCATGTTCATAATGGTGTTATGTTTTCAAAGTGGGTGGATATTTCTGTCTGCGTGAAAGACACACGACATGTCACCATACACATTTGACTGGAACCCCAAACAGGGTTGAGCTTTTTCTCTTATACAGCAGCCCAACCGCAGCACTGCCGTGTCCAGTATCTTCCCGTGGCCCTTTGTAGGGAAGGCCCTGGCTTCACAAAATGTCCATGATGTTTTAGGAATTAGTGACCTTCAAGGATATAGCTGTAGACTTCACCCAGGAAGAGTGGGCCCTGCTGGACACATCCCAGAGAAAGCTGTTCAGAGATGTGATGCTGGAGAGCATCAGTCATCTGGTGTCTGTGGGTGAGTCTGTCAACACTGATATATGTTTAACAAGTATCCAGAACAGCTTCCACGTATCGCCCTCCCTTCTCAGCCCTCATTCACATTCTTTCATGGTTCTTAAAACTACTTGAAGTTAATTCATTTGTTTATTTATTTACTTACACCTGTTTTGTCAGCCCAAAAGAATATAGTTTTCCTGACCACTCTTCCCTTTCTCTCTTCTTTATCTTTAACAATCAGGAATTCAATGAATATTTTTAAATGAATAAAAGTAATAAATATTTACTAAATAACTGTCCTGCTCTGTATACTCACCTGATGGTTAAAAATTCATTCTTGAAAATGATACCAGTGATCTATTTCCAAAGAGAAATTAGATTGTTCTGGTGGAGCTTCTGTGTTTCGGATTCTTTTTTAAAATGTAAAGTTCATCCTACTGTGGGAACATTTAATTTCTCCGTTGAAAACGCTGAGGATTCTTCACTCTGGCTTTGACCTTGGACCTGCACACCAGCAACAGGAAGAGCTCCCTGTTTTGTCACAGTGACAGTGTTTCAGCGTTGGGGGTGCTCTTCCCTGGGCTGTCCTCCAGTATTCACCTTGTCCCTCCTTGGTGTCCTGCCCTCAGATTAAAGGACATGCATGGTTCTCAGCAGAAAATGCAAAACCAATGTATCTTTTTTGCCCCCCACAAACAGGGTATCAACTCCGCAAATCATATGTGACTTCCCAGTTGGAGCAGCGAGTGGAGCTGTGGAGGGAAGGAAAAGGAGTTCACCAGTGCCTGAGTCCAGGTGAGCTCCAGGCTTACGTGTGCTCAGCACGAGGAAGATCCTAATATTGGGAGAGCAGAAGCTGGGAAATGGCCGCTGCAGATTTTGTTTCTTTTTTTAATATTTATTTATTTATTCATTCATTCATTTTTTTGGCTGCGTTGGGTATTCGTTGCTGCGCGGGGGCTTTCTCTAGTTGAGGCGAGCGGTGGCTTCTCTTGTTGCAGAGCACGGGCTCTAGGCGCACAGGCTTCAGTAGTTGTGGCACATGGGCTCAGTAGTTGTGGCTCACGGGCTCTAGAGCACAGGCTCAGTAGTTGTGGTGCACGGGCTTCATTGCTCCATGGCATGTGGGATCTTCCCAGACCAGGGCTCGAACCCATGTCTCCTGCATTGGCAGGTGGATTCTTAACCACTGCACCACCAGGGAAGTCTTCACTGCAGATTTTCTTGAGTGAGTTATGCTTTTAGGAAAGCAGTAGAGGCCACTGGGGCCTATACTCTCTTTTGCACTTTCTTTTGGCCTCAGAAAGGGACTGTTCATGTTCTTTTAGAGTTAAAGTTTCACATAGTGTCCTTTGTCTTGTTCCCTTCCCTTTGACAATTTTCCTTCTCTTTACCAATCTTGATTTTATTTTTTCTCTTATTTCAATCCTGAAAATACTTCCTAATTTTCAGTTTTCTGAAATGTGTTTCAACTCACTTTGCTTTCTTTTCACATTCCTGCTCTGTGTCAGGGTCAGTATTTGAAACATACTCACACAGGCCTTGCATGCTTTCAGCAGGTTTCTTTCTCCAATGCCACACTAGCATTTTTTAACAGTATTTTAGACAGGAAAAGTGGCCTTATGGGAGAAGAAATAATATTCGTACAAGATATCTGCAGAAAGGACCCATCTAATTGCATGTCAGTGGTGAGTTTCAAGGGGGTAAACCCTTTCCTCCATATTAAAGACATGGGAACTGAAAGGCTTTAGAATGCAGGACACGATGGTTATTTGAGTTGGATGTAAATGCTGCCCCAGCAGAAGGCTGTGGGTAGTTTCAATTTAGGGAAAAATTAATGAGTGCTCAAAACCATAACCTGAGTTCTTATAAAAGAACAATTGCCTAAACGTGGCTCATACTTGAAGTCTTTGAAACTAGTGAAATCTTTAACAAGTTTGATAGCCCTGCAGTTGAAATGTTATGAAACAGGAAATCTCTTTGTGTTGTGGAAGATAACA